AAGTACAAATTATAATAAAGGATTGAATGGTAAAACTGCTAAATGGGCAGTTAAAAAATATAAGTCATATCATCATTTATTAGAAAGAATTGAGATGGAAATCGAATAATCTATGTATTATTTTTTATTAAAAGTCTATTATTTTTTAATTGCTGACATATAGATTTGAATTGAATATTTTGTAATTCCTAATGTTTCAGATTCAATCTATACATCGAAGATATTTAACATGTCTTTAAGTGTCCAACAGTATCAAAAGAAGTTAATAAAATTATTAATATTATTAATAATATTATTTACTTTAACAGCAATCACAATTCAATTTCATATGTATAATATTTAGTAGAACTGGTATATAAAATTACTAATAACATCTTTTCTATAACCAATTTCTTCTATTAAGTCAAAATATTAATAAAGGTTTTAACTCTTCTATATAAATCAATTTGAATATTCTATTATGTTACAAAAAATACTTTTTAATAATTGTTTCAATATTTTTATAAAATTAATCATCAAAAATATAAATTGTTCAAAGATCTTTTTTTTATTTCCATATCAATTTCAAATATTATTGATCTATTAACTTTAATTACAGATTTTTTTATTCAAGATAAATATAATCTTTTCAAATATATCTTCAAATTAATATTTAACTATTTTAATTTTTTTTCATTTAATACTAAGTAGATAACTATAGTTGCTTAGTTTAAATTTTTTTTAATATTAGTTAAGTAAGCTAAAATTTAACTTGCTATGCTTTTATATATGAGAGATATTAGTTTTTTCAAAACATATATTTGATATTTTATAATTTAAATAAGAAAATAATATTTATTTACTAAAATAAAAATAAAAGTAAAATAAAATAGATGTTATTTCTTTTTATCTAAATAAACTTAAGCCAATTGATATTAATTAATTTGAAGCAAGATTATATATTGTGATTATATTTTTTAATTTGTTTTATATTTGTGATATCGAAGTGAAAACTTGTAACTAATTAATAAATATTTGTATTATATTTAATTTTAAAAAAGTTAATAGTATTGAAGTTATTTAAATATATTTATATTTGAAATTTGTAATTAATAATAATAAAATATTTTTTATAATTGTATTACTTAAGCAAAAAATATTTTTAAACTAGAAAAGTATAAGGTTAGTTAGTATATATTTTTTGTATAAATGGATAATCTTTTTTTAAATATATTAAGTGATATTTTTTAAAAAATTTTATACAGTTCTATAAAGTTCTAAAAAATTTTATATTGATTTAAAAAATTCTATAAGTTTTTAGAATATTTTAGAAAATTTTATTAATAAAGATATTAATTATTTATTTTTATATAAATAGAAGATATTTTTTTAAATCTTATTTAAAATTTTTTTAATTTTCTATAATATCTTTTTTAAATCTTAAAATTTTTTTTTCTTTTTTATAAATATACATTGTTGACATCTCTTTCGACAAGTTTGTCACTTCTCTGGAGCACTCCTTATATAATATCAGTAAGTGTTGGCTTTTTTACTTGAGGTGGGTGGATTGTTTAGCTGAGTTCTACTAATTCTTTCCTTTTCTTTCTGTTGTTACTTCTCTTGACAGATCTTTATTACTTTTCCCTTCATAGTCCCAAGCATCCCATCTGCGACAAGTACTAGATTAGATAAGTTAATTAGTTTTACTTCTTTTGGTAACGACTATCACATGTCCTAATTAAGAAGGTTTTAATTTAAGGAATGGTTCTTCTTATTTGCATGGCCTCTCTCTTTCTTTTTTCAATTTTCTCTTCTATTTATATCATTGTTACTACTAGAAAAACAATTAAGAGAAAATAGACTATCAATAGACTATCCTTACAAGGGAAGTTATGGAAAGTCTATATTAAACTCTAATTATTGTGTCATTGCTTATGCAACCCCACTAATTGTTTCCAATTTTCAAGGTATACAACATACCAGATCACATACCATGGCCATACCTCATACAATTTTCTTGCCAACAACATAATTTTTATTCTTTTCTATTTAACTCATATTTTTTATTATAAAAAAATCTTATTACTTTAATTTTATATAATATTAATTTATCATTATTTGACAATAAACTTGAACAATTATATAATTATTTTTTTAATTTACAAAATATATTAAAAGTAGAACAAATTTTGAATAATATAAAAACTATATATTGTTAATCTCAATAATGAGTCTGTTACAAATCTAAACTAATACTTATATAATATTGAGTAAATGGATTTATACTTCTAGTAATATCAATAGTACTTATAATGATAATTATTTTGATCTTTTTTTGGGAGGTCAGTTTTTCATTTTTAATGCTTGCTACCAAACTGTAAGACCTACGAATTCTTTTTAAAATAATTAAAGATCAATAAAGTAAGTTTATTAATTATCCTAACACTAGCACAAACAGTTAGTTTTATAAAGAATAGTATTTATTAATTGTATTGTTTGCTTTATTTTTATATTTGATATTACTACTATTTATATAACTTACAATATGTTTTTAAATCTATTGTTATATTATACAACATTATTAAACTTTTATATGCTTTACACCTATCAATTACGCATAAGTGATGTATGACTGATGTTCTGTATAGTACCATGCTAGATCCTATATGTTAAATATATCTTTTTATTATTAATTTTTTAATAACAGTAAACTTTTGTTTTTAAAAATATAAATTTGGTATTTTATTATTAATTGTTGATTTATATAGCAGAACAAAATTAAAAAATATAGTTTTTAATTTTAATAATAAGCAGTTTAATACTGCTCTCAAAATAATTAATAATCAAATATTTAATTTATTTAATTATTAAAAATATATTTCTTTTTCTAAATTAAAAATTGATAAAGAAACTTTTAGATTTTTTATTTAATTTCTTTTACAAAATTTATATCTATTAATATTAATATGTTCTTTTATTAAACTTCCATATTTTTTGAAAAATATCATCATTAATTACAACTTTTTTAATTATTTGGAAAAACAAAAAAAAAACAATTTATTTTGAAGTAAAAACTTAATATTCTAATTTAAAATTAAGTTTAAGTAAATTTTATAAATTTGTATTCAAAAATTTAAAAAAGCACAAAAAATGACATATATATAATTTGTATTAATAAAAAAATGTTAAAAATTAAATTATAACAAATTAATTCAAATAATAAAAAAAAACATTTTACTATTAATCAATTATAAACTGAAATTAATTTTTATAATCAATGTTTTTATTTTAAACTTAATAACATAAGTTTTATAAAAGTTCTTTTAAATTAACAATAGATTTTAAAGAAAATTTTAAAATTAGTAAAGGACTAATTGAAATTGAAAAAGATTTTTATAAAAAAACTCAAATTTCACTTTTAGTATTTATTGTTTTTTATAAAAATCAAAATAATATAACATAATTTAAACTTAATATTTTAATTATTTTTCAAAAAATTTTAATCATAATTTATTATTTGTAATCGATTATATTAAAAAACTTCTTTTTATCTTTAATTATTTATCTTTTATTTATAACAAAAAAATTTTATTCAACTATTTTGTTGAATATCATAACAAATACATTGTTAATGGTTACTTTAGTTTATTATTAAGATGGTTTGCTAAAGAAGAAACAGTACAAAATATTTCTATTATTAAAGAATTAATTAATTATTTTAAAATTAAAACATAATTTTATAATGATTTTTTTTTAAATATTTATTCTTATGAAAAATCACAAGAAAACATTTGTAAATTAATGATAAGTAATTTTTATTTTTATTTATAATTTATAAAAACCAATGAAAAATATATATATTTCAACTCTTAGTATACTTAAAGATATAGATTATAAAGAAGCTTTATCAAAAATAAAAATTATAAGAGATATAAGAAAAGTAAAATATATGCAAACAACAATAACAACAACAACAACAATAATAATATTTCAAAAATAATGTAAAGTAGAAATAGGTAAAAATTAAATATTAGAATAGCAAATATATCTTATTTTTAATTTCTATAGAAATATAATATGATAATATGAAATAGAGTCTAAAATATAGATAATAGCTATATATGACTTTGGGTCCAACTATTTTCCTCTTATGCAAACTCTATTTTGTATTTAATTTATATCTTTATAATTTGATTTTTGATTTTTTCATATAAATTTTAATATAAATTTTATTATATTTTTATAATTCAATAAATTATTATACTGTATATATAGTTTATAATTATAAGTTATAATTTCAAATTATTATTTTAGAATTATTATTTTAGGCCCCAAAAATTTTGATTTATATTAAAAAATAATTACCCATATAAATATGCTAGTTCATTATACATGAATGAGTTTATCTCAATATTGTTAGGGTTAATCGGCGAACTTATTGCTTCTTTGACCAGCGCTCGCGTAACGCTCAGGCATTTTATCTCTCTCTTTACTTGAGACGTTTAACAATTAATCATTGGTTCTTTTCTAACTACTTTGTTTATTGTTATTAAAAAAGCTTCTATATTCTCGTTTTTTGCTAATTATTTGTAAACCTGGTTTTACAATATAAAATTTGAGGTGATTTTATAATTATTAATATTAGAACGATGGCAAATAAAAGAATATTTCATTTAGCAAAATATTAGTTCGCCGGATCATTATTAAATAATTTTATACAATTCTTAATTATTTTTGCTATAGATGTAGCTAACGAATTCTCTTTTACTTAATCAATTAGATTAGACTCATTTTATTTTTAATTCGAAGATAGAAAAAAAAAATTATTAGCAAACAATATGATTTTAATCAAAATAAAACAATCGACTAAATATTATGGACAAGTAAATAAATTCCAAAAGAATATAAGATAAAAATCAGAAAATGTTAAAAATAAAAATGTTAAAAAAACACATTTTTTTCTTTCTCGTAGAACAAGTTATTAATTTTCAGCGCAAACACAGTGCATGTAACAATATAGGCTAAAACACCTCTTGCAAAATAATATTAATTCCTTTCTTTCTAATGTTCTGAATTAAATTCGACGACTTATCTACACATACCGTAGTTTCTATCACAATAGTTTTCAAAGCATTGTACACAACATGACGCTCAATTACCTTAAGGTATTCATGAGAATAACCGTCAAGATCCTTAATACGTAAAGTCTTCAATGTGTTGAGTGACAAATCATTATAGTCTATTAGAAATATCGCGAGAAACCCTGGTCTAAAATGGCAACAAAGATATATTTCTTCTAAGCTAGAAGGAACATATCTTGCCAAAACACTTAATAATTCAACTGAAATACTGTAAGATTTAATGACTAATTGACTTATCCTGGACACTTTTAAATAAATCATAAACATGTTATAGTCCTGTATCTTGTGATGTAACGTGAATTTTGATATGTTTGGACAGAATTGAGACAATGCCATCACCACTTTTTCGGATACTTTGTCAATGTACAAATTCAACAAATTTTTGCCTCCTTTTTCGATGAGTGTAGGTAAAAGCATATCATCGAAGTAAAATGTGTCAAAAGTTAAACTCTTGAGTTGAATTGATGATTGCATAAACATTTCACAGCTGCCCTTCGTAGGCCAATAGCAACTATGTAGTTCCATGGATTCTAACTTTATAAACTTTGCAATGCTATTCAGACTAATGGTTGAGAAATTGACATGGTGTAAAGAAAGTGATGTTAAAGATTCCTTCTGAGAATCTAAATGACTTATAAATCTTCTTTGGTAGACTATTTCATGAATTTTCATTGAAAATTTCTTTAAACTAGATTGTGCGGTTATGATGTCAGCAAATGAGTCCACGGTTTTAGGATCTATATATCGTTCAATCTTATATTCTAGCCTTTCAAGGTTGGTACACAATTTTGATGAATTTCTTAATAACTCCTTAATATATGGACCTTGCTTAATATGTATTGTCAAATTGCGTAATTGTGAGAATATGGGTTGATAGGAGGAAAATGAAATGACATTCAAAATATCGTAGGTAAATTGTTTGTCATTCCGAACACCATAATAATCAAAGATTTCAATCTCTCTTAAACTACTAGTTCTCAAGACCAATTGAAAAATGGCAGTCATGATCCTTCCGAGCCTTTCAATACGTATTTTTTTAAATAGATTAACAGACTTATTGCGTCCTTTCCAACATTCCACTATTATTTTTGCGATATCTGCAAATGAAAATTTTTCTAAATATGAAGAATACTGAAACAACGGTTGCGAGGGATTATAGCGTTTATCATACGGGTGTAGGATTTCCTTTTCAACTTCATTTAGCGTTGCCATATAAGTTCTGCGCAATAAGTGCCAGTTATTTTCGATAATATTTTCAACAGGTCGAGAAGAGCTACGCCACCAATAGTGAAAAGGATTACGCCATAATATAGGGACTACTAATTTGCACCAATAACGACTAACGAGTAAACACCTATAAAGAGTTGAATAATTATCTTCGAAATATAAAAATATCTCTAGAATACATTCGCATGGAAGATCCTCAAAAGTCTTCATATTTTCTTCAGTATAAAAATTGAGTTGTAAGTACAGTATTACGATACGTACTTAGGTTGTCGGATTGTTGTACAGTACAATACTGTATTTGATCTCGTGATCGTTGCAATGTACTGTACTGTGCATATGTTATCGGCCTTTACAGTTTACAGTACTGTATACATCCGCTTTGGTTAAATTGATATCTTGCATTAATTTTTCTTGTTCTGATTTAATGTACATTAAAAAATTATTGAATTTATAAAATTTTAAATAAATAATTGATAATAAAAGAGCGCGGCTTTTAATACAATCAAAAAAATAGGTGTGTGGTAAGACGTCCTATTGTCCTGCCTTCTCTCAAGGCTACAGTAGTGGCGATAATAGATCTAAACTGAATTTTCGGATCGCAGTGTTTCAAAATTTGATTCCAAATTTTATTATGTTTCTCTCTAGTCTTCTTTTATGTCAAAACCTTATATTTAACACTTAAACTCTTATCAACGTTTATTCATTTAAATGCCAATAATTTTTTTATTTTATTAAAACGCGCAATTATTATATACTTTCAATTATAGCTGACAGGTATAATAGAGGTCCCTGGTATTTCTATATAGGTTTATTTTGATTATATTGAAAATACTAAAGTATTTTGAGGTATTCGATATATCAAGAATATTAAATGTTTTAAGAATTTATTACCTCAAACTAATAATATTGCTATTTAAAACACTTTAGATAAATAACCAAAGTTTTAAAGTAAAAATAATTACTAAAGAAATTCATACATTAATAATAAAAATATTATTTATAAAAACGAATTTAATTTAAAAAAATTATATACAAATAACAATGATTTATTTTTCCATCACCACGATATATAAATAATGCAATAGATAAAAAAAAGAATAAATAATTTCATATGTTCAGAAAACATAAAAATTCTAATATAAATAAGACTTAATTTTAATATTTAATATATTTTTTGTTAAAATATTAATTGAAAAACAGAAATAATTAATAAAGTTTAATTGCAAAAATAAAATAATTAATAATAACACGGTGTTTTAAAAAAACTAAATTATAATAAATATAAATTCATTTTTCAATACGTTACTTAATAAAAAACTATAAATAATATAACTTATAAAAAATGTAATATTATAAAAAAATAAAAGGTAAATTTATATTAAAAGCTTTTTTCTACTTACTTTTTTTTGTCAGTAAACTTTTTTTAGAAAGTTTATTTTCATTTTATCTTTTCTTCTTTATTAACAAATGAAAACAAACAAAATAAGTCTAAGTCCAAGATATATTAATATTATATAAAAACTTTATAACTAATTGATATATATTTAAAAAAATATTTTTGCCTGAAAAAATACAAACAAACAAAAATCTGTGTAAAACAAAATTTTGAAACAAAAAAAACAAAAAAAAATCAATTTTTTATTGCAAGTTATTCTTATTTTTTTTTCTATTTTTTTTTTTACTTTTTTCTTAAAATTTTTTCTATTCGAAATTATATTTATTTCAAACCTAATTATAATATTTTGTTTTATTATAATTTAAAATATTTTTGCTATTAAAAATAATTATTTTATTTAGTAAAAAACTTATTATAATAATTATATAACTAATATAAAAAAAAGCTTTAAATAATATATTATATTATATTTAATATTACATTTGACACATTTGTATATAGTAATTAAAAAAAAAACTTTGTATTATCTTACAAATGTAATTCTCAATTATGTGATAAACAAAAAATTTTATGTTTAATAATTAAATAAAAGAACAAAAAAAATAATTTATATTTAAAGTATTGATATTATTAATTATTCAATCTTAACAATATATAAGTAATTCTTTTTAACATAATCCAAAAAAGTATTTACCAATAAAATTTTTTGATATTTTAATCTATATCTAATTCTACAAAAGTATCTGCCATTATACAAATAACAAAAAAAAAGTTGAAATATAAAATTAATAAATTTCCCAATTTAAATATCATTTTTAATTAGTAATATTTTATTTAATATAAGAGAGATAACAATATAAATAATTTGTATAAAAAAATATATTATAAATAAAAATCATTGTATTTGTACTTTGAAAAAAAGCATCTATATTTAAATAACAATATAATAATAATATAAATTCAAAAGTATTTAAATAAATTTAGAACCAACATTTAATATAAATTAAGTTAAAAAAATCATATAAAATCTTTTTAACAAATCAAAATTAAAAAAACAACTTATTTAATATTATTTAACTTAAATTAATTTATAACTATAAATATTTCATATAATCTGCTATTGTTATTAAAAGATAGAACAATAACTTATTGTTTATTAAATATAATAATAAATAAATTAAAAATTTCTATTTATAGGCATTTAAAATTTATTTTTTTTTATTTTTTTTATAAATAAATATTATTCTTTATTTGATTTGTATATAACAAAATACATATTATAAAAGAAACAATGTTTCTTATATATTATTGGCCTAAGAAAAGTTATAAGATATACTGTAGTTGCGTATCGTAATTGTTGCTTTGTATACCCTGAAAATGCAGAGTATCAGTAACAATTAGCATAGAAAATGTAGTTATAGAAGCTTATATAACTTACCTGATAGTCTAATTTAGTTCTGATAGTTTATTCTTTCTTAATTGTTTTTCTTATATATGTGGACAATATAAATAGTAATATCAATGTATAAGTAAAATAAGATAATAATAATAAGAAAAATAATAATAATAACTTTAGTGCAACTGATAATAAACAAAGTAATTAATAAAATTGAAAGATCAGAAAAGAAATACTTTAATTAATAAACTTATCTTTTCGAGTATGCACTGTTTAGAAAAGGATAATCACTGCTATATTATATAGCCTAGGATTATCAAGTAAAAAGCTGATACTGGGAAAGAGAAGAAAAGCTTGTTAATAAGAAGAAAATCTTGGTCAAATCAATTTTACATATCTTGACTTATATTTAATAGCCTTATCTTTGGATTGGTGAAGCAACTCACTATTTTCCAGATTAACTATATTAATTTTATATAAATTAAATAAAGAAATGTTATTTCCCTATAAAAAAAAATAAAGTAAATATAATTAAAAATGTTATATATGCAGTAGTATATTATGTTTAATTTTTTGAAGAGTAAATATATGTCTTGTTTAATTTTATTAAAACAATAAATTGAAATATAATATTGTATGTATGTAAAATATTATAGGATAAGTCTATATCTTTTTTAATTATAAAATAATCTTATTAAAATTACTTTACTATATAATTTATTGCCTGTTTTATAAAAAAAAACAAAATATTAAAATTTTCTTAAAATGATTAATCTACTGTAATAATATTATTGTCATATATCATTTCTATCTCAGGAGAAAGAAAAAGACAGAGAACTAGTAACAGAAAGGTACTTTAGATAAACAGGACCAATATTATACATGTGGTGTAAATTATTTTGCTATTGACTCAATTCTCAAAATCCTCAAAAATAATTGCGTCATGACTCAATTATTTATATGTTTTAATAGTGACTCAATTAATTGCGTCAAATAATTGCGTCAATTGCGTTAAGGATCTATGAATTTCAGCAACATGTATAACCAATATGGTATGCTAAAGTTCCTAAAAGCATACAAATAGATACAATTCTGAAGTGTATGAGATCAGGCAAAAGAAACAACAGTGATTTGTCTTGTAAAGGTCAAAATATTTATTTGATAAAATTATAAGTTCAAGCCTGCCAATTTTTAAGTGAAATTGATATTTTTATAAGTTATAATATTTTTGTATATAATAATTATGAGTTATAAAAAATAATAGAGATATAAAAGAAATGTTATATTTATCAGAACAATTATCTGTATATGTTAGTATAGAAACAAATACTCTGGTGAAGATACAAAAATAAAAATAAAAAAATAAAATAGGAAATATTCTAGAGCAATAATGGCACAAAAAGTACAATATTAAACAATAACAAGAAATATAATACAAGAATTATTCTAGAATGAATAACATTTCAAAGGTAAATGTTAGTAAAAATCAGACAAGGAGTATTGATAATTTTGGGTAAAAATCAAGTATAACACTATTAAAGAAGTAAATAATACAAAGTATATTATACAAGTAGTACAATAAAGTCAATAAATAAGCAGTATTTTAGAAATATAATAGTTTTTATTATGTTTCTTTAGAACATTTGGAATTTGAAATATCATAAGTTAATAATTCTTTATTATACTTAGAACATGTGACATATATAGGTAATATTTAGTATATAACATATGACATATGATATCCAATTTCAAAAGATATTTAATATTATAATAGTATGAATTTACAAAAACCAATGGTTCTATTCTATTTCACTTTAAGTTTCTTTAATTATTAATATTAGATTTTAAAAATATTAAAATAATTAAAATAAAACATTGGTTTATTATTTTATTATTTTACTTTATATTATATGTATATTGTTATAATTATACATGTATTCGTATTTAATTCAAACATTTTCAAAAACTGTATTATGTTTATATTACTAAGTAACAATTAATAAATAATTGAAAATTGTTAAATTCTAAAAGCATTAAAGTCAAATTAACAGATAGCAATCTGTTAAACCTAGCTATCAGCAAATTTAATCCCCCATTTAATTTTCTTCAAAAAAAAGAAGTTATCTCTAATTATACTCTTAAAATTTTATACAAAGCCTGGAAACTGTGATCTGTTACTGCAACCACGTCACCGTCATCAGGCATAAAATGGAAAAAAACTTTATCTACAAAGCTATCAAGCTCAGATTCAAATGATAACACAACATTCAACACGATTCTAGATCTACTTAATGCTTCATACAATTTTACTGAAAAGTCAATCTTCACTCCAACAGTTATATCATCGTTCTGAACAGGCATTAGCCATTCAGCACTATTGTCGTGAGCCCACTCCCACAGTGGTACCTGGTTTCAATA